CAAGAGCCTGGAAGTTTCCCTGTAGGGAAACAGGCTGGGGCCTGTAGGCCCTGTCAGAAGGAAGCTTCCAGGCAAGAGCCTGGAAGTTTCCCTGTAGGGAAACAGGTTGGGGCCTGTACAGCATGTAACATTCAGCAAGTACGACCGCCCTAAGTGAAGGCGGGCCTGACAAGCGACCAGAGGCCTATTTTTGGGTTTTGGACGCAGCTGGGAAATTCAGGCAGTTGCGCAGCGCCAGTTGGTTGAGTGAGTCCAGGCCCGGCCTGCCTTTTTCCAAATGTATCGAGGCAGGCCCTGGTCCAGACATGGGGCATGAGCCGAGCGCAGGCCGCTGGCAGTTGGACACGGGTAACCACCGCAGGCCCTGTGGAAGATTCCCTGGGACAGGGGGCTCAGCCACTTGGGGCCTACCAGAAGCTTCCGTGGGGAGGCCCAGGCCAGTCAGGCAGCGCACAACTGGCAGCCACTTTCCATAAAGGAAAGGGCCCGGCTGCGGGCTGGACATCCGGGCACTTGCTACATGCTGCGTTAGCGCTGCTGCGCTATCTGCAGGCAAGCGCCCACGCGCTCACAAGCGAACAGGGCACACGCAGGCAGCCATAGCCAAGCTGGCCTGCGAGATGCTGGATGGGGCGCATGGTGGTCCTTGGGTGCATGTGGCATCTGTGTGGGGGATCGAGGTTGTGAGTGAAGCGTGAGACATACATGGTGCTCGAGGCGAACGGCATTGGCCGAGATCTGCTCGTACTTCGGGAAGCTGTTGACGTCACCAGCGGCATTGTAGATAGGCTAGCTAGGATCTGCCATTCGTAGTCTAGGCGCCGAGCGCCAGATAGGGATTCGACATTGGTTCATTGTTGATGATGACGAGACTATTCCAACATTGTCACTTGTGAGCTTTTGCTGTGCTCTTCTTTGGTGGAACTCGAGTTGCAATTCTGCTTTTGATCCGAGGTCAAAACTATCTGGTTTCATGTGTATGATGTTGCTTGGTTTCTGGAATTCGCTATCGCTCATTTTCCTTGCAGTAGGGCATACTCACACTTGCACTTCCTGAATGTATCTGTCGAAAGTGACGGCTATCCCTGGACGAATCTGATAGCTTTGGGTGGCACATGAGTGAAAACAGCGGCCTTTCCTTTGTTCCTTGTGTCAGCAGCAGGTCCAGCACTCAATCCAAGAGCGACCAGTACCGGTGCCAACCTCAGGGTTGGCAAAATTATAGTTTAGGCTCGTACATTTAGCCCCAGGTGTATTGGCTGTCTCTTATACACATCTAGATGTGTATAAGAGACAGTCCTGAATGTATCTGTCGAAAGTGACGGCTATCCCTGGACGAATCTGATAGCTTTGGGTGGCACATGAGTGAAAACAGCGGCCTTTCCTTTGTTCCTTGTGTCAGCAGCAGGTCCAGCACTCAATCCAAGAGCGACCAGTACCGGTGCCAACCTCAGGGTTGGCAAAATTATAGTTTAGGCTCGTACATTTAGCCCCAGGTGTATTGGCTGTCTCTTATACACATCTAGATGTGTATAAGAGACAGTCCTGAATGTATCTGTCGAAAGTGACGGCTATCCCTGGACGAATCTGATAGCTTTGGGTGGCACATGAGTGAAAACAGCGGCCTTTCCTTTGTTCCTTGTGTCAGCAGCAGGTCCAGCACTCAATCCAAGAGCGACCAGTACCGGTGCCAACCTCAGGGTTGGCAAAATTATAGTTTAGGCTCGTACATTTAGCCCCAGGTGTATTGGCTGTCTCTTATACACATCTAGATGTGTATAAGAGACAGTCCTGAATGTATCTGTCGAAAGTGACGGCTATCCCTGGACGAATCTGATAGCTTTGGGTGGCACATGAGTGAAAACAGCGGCCTTTCCTTTGTTCCTTGTGTCAGCAGCAGGTCCAGCACTCAATCCAAGAGCGACCAGTACCGGTGCCAACCTCAGGGTTGGCAAAATTATAGTTTAGGCTCGTACATTTAGCCCCAGGTGTATTGGCTGTCTCTTATACACATCTAGATGTGTATAAGAGACAGTCCTGAATGTATCTGTCGAAAGTGACGGCTATCCCTGGACGAATCTGATAGCTTTGGGTGGCACATGAGTGAAAACAGCGGCCTTTCCTTTGTTCCTTGTGTCAGCAGCAGGTCCAGCACTCAATCCAAGAGCGACCAGTACCGGTGCCAACCTCAGGGTTGGCAAAATTATAGTTTAGGCTCGTACATTTAGCCCCAGGTGTATTGGCTGTCTCTTATACACATCTAGATGTGTATAAGAGACAGTCCTGAATGTATCTGTCGAAAGTGACGGCTATCCCTGGACGAATCTGATAGCTTTGGGTGGCACATGAGTGAAAACAGCGGCCTTTCCTTTGTTCCTTGTGTCAGCAGCAGGTCCAGCACTCAATCCAAGAGCGACCAGTACCGGTGCCAACCTCAGGGTTGGCAAAATTATAGTTTAGGCTCGTACATTTAGCCCCAGGTGTATTGGCTGTCTCTTATACACATCTAGATGTGTATAAGAGACAGTCCTGAATGTATCTGTCGAAAGTGACGGCTATCCCTGGACGAATCTGATAGCTTTGGGTGGCACATGAGTGAAAACAGCGGCCTTTCCTTTGTTCCTTGTGTCAGCAGCAGGTCCAGCACTCAATCCAAGAGCGACCAGTACCGGTGCCAACCTCAGGGTTGGCAAAATTATAGT